ATGAATATACTATTCTATTTAAATAAAAAAAATTAAAGAATTTATTGCAACCATAGGTCCAAATTTTTTTATAAAGTAAAAACGAATCTTAAATAAATTATTAAAAAATTAGAAATTAATATTTTCTTTTAAAAAAGAGCAAACATTCCCAAAGTAAATAAATTATTAAAAAAAATTAGAAATTTTTTTTTTTTAAAAATAAACTGCAAACGAGTCCCAATTATATTTATTATTAAAAAATAAAAAAAATGAAAAAGCATAAACGAGTTCCAAAAAAATTATCAAAAAATTAAAAATTAAAAAAAAAGTAATTTTTTAAATTTAAAAATATGAAGGTATATTCATTATTTCCTAACTCTTTATTAATAAATTGGATGATAATAAATTGAAAAAATAATGATTTGTGCAATCAAATGTGTAATTAAAAGTGAAAACGTTAAAAAAAAACTGAAAGGCTTTAAAATTTTCTGCTATAATAATGAAAAGTAAGGACTTTATATGATAATTATCATTTTAATAATTTATTTGGGACACATTCGAGTTTTGAAAAAAAATTGGGATTATAATTGCAATTATTTTTTTCTTTTTGTTTTTGTTTTTATTTAAACAGAATGGTATATTTGTTATTTTACAATTTTTAACTGAAAAATGAATGAAAATGACTTTTTGCCCAATGAAAATTGGAAATAATGTTGAAAATGTCAAAAAAAATGAAAAGTAATGACATTTTCAATAATAATAGTAAAATGTTGAGATGTTATGTACTAATTAACCTAATGTAAAAGTATATTAAAATTTTGATAATTTTATTGAGATTGATTGAATATATTCCCATGTTTGGTGTAATTAAAACAAAATTTTTTAATAATTTTGATAAAAATTATTGAAATGTGATTAAAAAATATTTTATGAAATACGCTATTAAAATCAATTATTGATTTTAATTTATGTTTTTAGCAACTTTTTAAACTACAAATATTAAAAGCATGTTTGGGATCGAAGTATTAAAAAATATTTAAAAGGAAAAATAAGTTAATTTTTTAATCACCAACATTGGATACTTTAGTGTTACTGGTTGGTAAATGTTCAACCAATGTGAGTGCACCAACTTTTCAACAAACCAATTTCCTTACTCAACAACTGTTGCTACATGCCACCACCACTTTAATCTGGTGTGAGTGGACACCACGGAGCAAATGTTCGTCCTTACTTTGCTCTGTGGTGTCTAAACACCACGAAGCACTTTAGTGCTCCATTTTTTTTTTTTTTTTCATAGTTTCTAGCTTGAGATGAAGAAACTAAATTTTTCCATTTTTAGATTATATTATTTATCATCAAACAAACATTCTTTTAATACAAAATTTTACTTGCAAACAAACATTCTCCTAAAAACAAAATTTTACTTCAATATGATTAAAAAAACACTACAAACAATGTTTTGGTTTTAATTTCTAGCTTAAGATTAAGAAACTAATTTTTTTTCATTTTTAGATTAGATTAGATTATTCATCATCAAATAAACATTTTTCATTTTACTTGCAAATAAACATTCTCCTAATACTTTAACTGCTAATACTCTTCATCCCAATCATTGCGAATCCAAAGTTGACATATTCTATACTATCATACACCAGCATAATGCATATAACTAAAAAATAAGACAAAACAAAATATGGAATGAATTATCTGAGAGAGAAGT